TGTCGCAAATGCGAGCGGCTTGTCGCAAATGCGAGCAGCTTGTCACAATTGCGAAAAAAGCCCAGGCCAGCTCCCTCTCGCAAATACGAGATTATTTTCGTAATTGCAAAGTTTGCCATTTGGCCGGTGATCGCAAATGCGATGCTGTAGTCGCAATTCCCATGTCGCAAATGCGACAGGTTAATCGCAAATGTGAAAGTCCATCTTTCCTGAAGGGTTTGCAAATGCGAACCCTGTTTCGCATTTCCCAACTTGGCAGAGGTCGGGGTTCGCAATTGCGAACCCTTGTTCGCAATTCCCATACCTGCGACCTGCAACTTTATACTTAAACGATTTTAAACTCATTTTTCACATCTTTTCAAAACACAAACTCCTTTGGGCGATTTTCCAAGAACAACTCTTCTTCCAAATCGATTGTAGGTTAATTTTAACTCATTTCCTTCAATCATTAACATCTTTTAACATGATTTCAATTCCAAATTAATGATTTTCATGGGAGAAATTGGGAGTTTTGTGTAGAATCTAGGTTTTTCAAATATTGGGGATTTGGACCTCGATTTGAGGTCCGATTTCAAAACAAATTATATATTTGGGTTCGTGGGGGAATGGGTAATCGGATTTTGGTTCGAACCTCGGGTTTTGACCATGTGGGCCCGGGGCGATTTTTGACTTTTTGGGTAAAACTTTGAAAAACTCATTTTTATGCATTGGGGTTGATTCATTTAGCGTTTATTGATGTAATTAAGTAAATTGTGACTAGATACGAGCGAATTGGCGGTGGAATCAAGGGGTAAAACTATAATTGAACCTTGAGTTGTGTTCGTTGCATCGAGGTAAGTGTTTGGTCTAACCTTAACTTGATGGATTAGGAGTTGTGTCCTATTTGCTAAATGTTTCTTGTTGAGTACGACATATAGTCATGGTGACGAGTATCTATGCGTTGGTGTCAAGCATGACCGTGAGTCTTATATTGTAATTTTCATGATCTCGTTGTATTATTCATGCCTTGGTGAAGATTTCTATTTGTTGTGTAAAGTTGTGGAAAGAATTGTGACCTATGAACATTGAGGAGCGTTGGCCCCAGTTGTGTAATGAATTATGAAAATGTAAGTGATAATCGAAACTCTAGAGCATTGGCTCGAGTTGTGAAGTGAATTGTGAAGTAAAAGTGAGAAAGAAAAGAGATCATTATGTTGCCCTTGTCGGGCTATTGTTGAGTTGAGGTTCCCTTGCATTGTGTTTTTAATTGATATTACGAACGCTTATGTAGATGATTTTTTGTGTTAGGTGTTGTAACAAGTTTGGTTATAGCTAAGGTAATTAGATGTTGAAACTAGTTGAGTTATAATTGAGATAGTTAGATGTTGGAACAAGTTTGGTTATAGTTGTTTCTCCCTTGCCGAGACATNATGGATCGGGTTGCACGCCGCAATAAATATTATATTGGATCGGGTTGCACGCTGCAACGGATATTATATTGGATCAGGTTGCACGCCGCAACAGATATTATATTGGATCGGGTTGTACGCCGCAATAGTTATATATGCGGATCAGGTTACATGCCGCAACAATGTTAAATGATAAGGGATCGGGTTGCGCGCCGCAACAGTATTGTTATAGTATTGTTGTAGACATTGAGTGTTCTTTCATACTTTATTAAGTTCTATTAGAATTGATATGTTTCCCCGAAGCATGTTTCCCCCTCCCTTTTAAACTGTTATTTCCTGTTTGTATTTCCGTTGTATATTATATAACTGCACAGGTTTATCTGGAGTCTGGTCCTAGCCTCGTCACTACCTCGCCGGGGTTAGGGCAGACACTTACCAACACATGGGGTCGGTTGTGCTGATGCCACACTCTGCACTTATGTGCAGATACAGGAGCAGCGCTTGTTCAGCAGCATTAGGGGATCCAGCCTTCAGTCCACCGAGATACCGAGGTAGCCTTGCAGGCGTCCGCAGACCCGACGTCTCCTCTATCTTTTATTATGTTCTGTTATCTCTTGTTTTCGAAATAGACAATGCTTCTTTCTTTCAAACAGTTGTGTGTAGTGATCTTAGTAGTCCTTGGATGTTGTGACACCAGTTTCTGGGTAGAGGCATATATGGATTTTCGTATTATTTTGGTTTTTATATTTATTTAAGTCTTCCGCTTAATCTCATATTTCGTTGTATTTAAATATTTGTCACTTGTTGATGTAATTTGTAAGAAGATTAACGCAAAAGAGTTAAGGATTTCTAATTTCGTGGCTTGCCTAGCTTCTACGAGTAGGCGCCATCATGATTTTCGAGGATAGGAAATTCGGGTCGTGACAAGGTTTGAAGATGGAGACTATATATGTAGGACATTGGACATGCATGTGTATATAGTGATTCTTTAATTTGTTAAGGGAAGGTTATAATTTATAATTATAAGATTTTCTTGCAGTTAGTCTGGTTTCATCAAAATCATATTAGACACACAAATACAATAAATAATAATATTATAATATGTAGAGCTAAATAAATACATTACAAAATATATCACTTTGCAGTAGATATTTAGTTATAAAATGAGAAGAGAGATATTTGAAGATAAACAAAAATATTTGTGTTTACTCTTAAGTATGGATAACAATTGAATTTATACGCGTTTTTAAGAATATGTGGATTAATTCAATACAAATAATTTATAATGTCAGGTATGCAAATAAAAGATAGAATAAACAGTCAAACCAGTAGTGATATTGAGTTCGGGCTTAGTTAAAAGCTCAAGAAGCATGCCTTCGGTCCGAGCCAACACTTATGAAGAACTTATGAGCAAAAGTAAGAACTTTGAATAACTTTTAGAAACAGAGGAAATATATGTATATTACCATGGTTTGCGTGTTACATAGTGTTTATTGAATAATAAACTTTCCCTTTATATAATAGGGGAGTTAGGTAAAGATCTTCCTTTTCGCTAATCACTGATCTGCTGCCGATATGGGCCGAGATTCACGCCATGATATCTGGTTGGGCGCAGATATCACGGTTCTTTGTTGACCGTGTGCGGACGTTTGGCAATGCTTTCCGAGGTCTCGAAGCTTGAACCGGGTCGGGGACATGGTCTTGATGACTCCGAGGGTAGGTGTTTTCTTCGGGCCTTGATACAGGAGGCTCCCAACTTTAATTTCGATTCCTTGTAGTTATGTTCTTGCTTCGTTTTCCCCACAAAAAAATTGGGGTGCTCATTAACTCCGATTTTCCCCGTATACAATTTGAACATAACTAGTGCTAAAATAACACCATGAATTCATGAGATGGCGGAGTATATATTAATTTAATTAGAAAGATAAGCTTCTCACATTTCCCTTTACACATCTCAAAAATATTGTAAGGTAAGACCTCTCAAGCATTTTAATGTATTTTAAAGCTCACCAACCAACAAGGATTATAGTGAGATAGATAGGTACACACTAAACAAAAGCCTCGATTTGAGCTTTGGGTATAGAAAAAACTATGTTAAAGAGCACTTTTCCCCTCTAAAGAGCCTTACGCATCACAAATTAAGATTCCAATATAAATATTAAACACCTAAAGAAAAACAAAAGCAAAAAAGTATTTTAAAGGCTATGCTCGCTACAACTTTGACTCTTACACATCATAATCGCCTAGTTAATTATATTTAATTTTGCTTTTTCCATAATAATTCTTTTCATAGTTCTATTACATTATCAATTGGTAACATCTTTCTCATCCATACCTTTCCCTTTTCCGTAAATTTTCATTCCTTTCCATTCAGATTTCACATTATTATAAATTGGCTATAATTTTGGTCATAACGTGTTAGGAGGGTGTTTGGCTAAGCTTCTAAGTTGGTTAAACTGGCTTATAAGCACTTTTTGGCTTATCTACGTTTTTGGTAAAATTAAAAGTACTTATAAGCCAAAAATAAGTCAAAAGCCATAAGTTGGTCTCCCCCAACTTATCAAATTTCAGCTTATAAGCACTTTAGGTTTGACCAAAATATTTACTATTCTATTCCTATAAAACTTCTTTTTAAAACAAAACTCTTCGTATACCCAGTTCTTTAGCTGCTTATTATTAATTTCAGAACTTTTATCAAAACACGTAACTGCTTATTTTTTAAATCAACTTCAGCATTTAAAAGTGCTTTTCAGCACCTAATGCTTATCAACTACTCTAAATCAGCTAAGCCAAACGGGCTCTAAATCATGTAGAAATGACATCGGCTGGCCACTTTAAAGGGCTACTATTTAAACACTAGCCAGTGTGTCTTGAATTTTAGTTTTCCAAAAATATCTTGAATTGTCCAGAAGTTAAGATTTTTAATTTAAAATTTGAAGAATTAACCTAAATAGCAACCCATTCAATTACTTAAACTAAAAATAGCCAATATATATACGTGTGTATAACCATGTATAATCTATGTATAATCTACTTATACTGACTAGGGAAAGTAAATAGTAAAACTGAGCGGCTCTTTGTGTAAAGATCCCTTTTAGGATAAAATAAGTACATAATAATCTCTAAGGGGTCGTTTGATAGGAGGTATTAGAAAAAACAATGCAAGCATTAGCTCTATGCATTACTAATACCTTGCTTGGTACATTTTTTCAACATGCGTATAACTAATACTTATATTAGTTATACATCATACTTGGTACTATCCTATGCATTAATAATTCATAGAAAACCATGACATTAGTAATACCAAGGCTATTAATGCATGCATTAGTATGTTTAAAGACAAAATTGTCCTTAAAGTCCTTTAAAGCTAAAGAATATGGAGGACATTTTTGTAAACAACTATTTTTCTTAAAAATTATGTAATACATTATAATTTTAATACACCACACCAAACAATAGATAAGAAATAATATATGTACAACTAATGCTTGCATTACTAACGCATACATTACTAATCCATGCATTATTAATACACCTTATTCCGCATTATTCTTATACATCCTACCCAACCACCCCTAAATATCATGAAAGCATCCATGAGAATGGCTGTAAGTGCACTTGCCCCATCATTATAAGGTGAATCCGACTCGTTATCTATAACCGCTTGATTTCCAACCCGACTCGACCCGAATCAACGGCCATACATCGGCTAAAACCCTAAACCCTGCTCCAACTCTACACTTTGGGGAAAAAAGCAATATAATCCTCAGCTCTTTTCTGATTTGGGTTTCTGAAAATACAATTAGGTTAAAAAGAGAATGGAGCAAAGATTAGCAAATACATGGCGAATGACAGTGAATGAGAAAAAGTTCATAGAATCTGCATTGGAATCTGAACTGAGAATAGACGGTCGCCGTCCCTTTGATTATCGGAGGCTTACAATCAAGTTCGGTAGGTAAGAATCTGGAATTCAATATCGTTTTTTACCTTGACTTTTAGAATAAAAAAAAACTATGCTTTAATCCAAAATCAGTCTATATGAATCCTGTACATTAAGAGAATTTGCTTTAGTTCATCAAATTGTACTCTAGCCATTAAGCTGCTGTAAATATGTACCTTTGCTGGTGGGAGGTATTCTTTTGTAGAATTAGTCAGGTGCGCACCAGCTGGCCCTACACCACAGTTAAATGTTTATTTTTTTTGTTGCTTTAATCCAAAGGACTTTTTTTTGTGGAATTAGTTAGGTGCGGGCAAGCTGGCACATTTTTTTTTGTTGCTTTAATCCAAAATTAGTTGAAGTTGGCTATTTGAATCCTCTATACTAAGAGGATTTGCTGTATTTCATCAATTTTTACTCTAGCCATTAAGCTAAATATACACATATAAATTGCTCTGTTGATGTTCCTAGTGGGAGGTAGCAGGTATCACATAGAATTAGTTAGGTGCCGCTAGCTGCCCGGGATACTGCTGTTAAAAAAATTGCTTTAATCCAATATCAGTTGAAGTAGGGTTATGAATCCTCTATATTAAGTTGTAGTTCGTCAAGTTTTACTCTAGCCATTAAGCTATAGTAACCGTCCTTTATTCGACTAGGGAATTGCTTTTTTGAGGTACCTTGCTGGTGGGAGGTAGCCGGTATTCCGTAGAGTTAGTTGAGGTACACACAAGCTAGCCCGGACACATGTGGAATTTGAGATGGATACTGGACATAGTATGTGGAGGTATTGAAACAGAAACTATCAGTGAGTGTAGTCTTCTGTTTGTTTGGTTGTCACTTTGTAACACATTTGGAAAGATAGAACTTTAATGTTAGGGAAGAAGACTCCATACGGATATATCTATCACAGTTGTAGGTTTTATGTTATGGGCTACATTTGAAACTTTCAACCTCTCTTATCATAAGTTACGTTCATTTCAAATGATTTGACTAATCCCATGGATTAAAGTTCTTTCCTTCCCTAATTGTTATTTGTTGTACCTCACAGTGTCACGCTTCCAGTATAACTTTTATATCGCACATGTTTGGCATATTATGGTATAAGGAGAAAGATTTAGCTACGTATGCTTGTGCGATTCATATAAGAACTTGTGTTATAAGTGCCAAGAGTTATTGATTTGCAGAGAAGATGGTTCGTCGGAAGTTCAGCTGGGGCAAACTCATGTTATGGGCTTTGTTACGTCGCAACTAGTGCAACCTTATCGAGATCGACCAAACGAAGGAACCCTTTCAGTATTTACTGAATTTTCCCCAATGGCTGATCCTTCATTTGAGGCAGGTCGTCCTTCAGAGTATGCTGTTGAGCTGGGTCGCATAATTGACAGAGGGTTAAGGTAACATTTCCTTTACTATTCTTTCCAAGAAGCATATGTCTTCCTTCGACAAGAGAATGTTACGCATCGAGAAATATATTATCAGATATATATGGTCTTTTTAAATAAACTAGAAGATGTATATTTTACAAGAAAAAGGTTTTACTATCCCATGGAGAGATATAGTATTTCTTTGTCTCGCGGTTGAGAAGTGCTTATAACTTTTAAGCACTGCTGCTTCTTTTCCATTGTAGTAGTACTTGTTTGCTTTTTGAATTTTTGCATTAGATCTTTTTGAAGGTATCTTGTATTGTTATTTGTCTGTAGAAAGCGGACAATAAAGCTCACTTGCTTTGTTTTGCTGAGATAAGTACATAATTTGAAGAAAAGACATTGCTGTCTTTGGTTAAGTCTTCTTTTATGCTGATGCCTAAATGCAGGGAAAGCAGAGCTGTGGACACTGAATCACTCTGTGTTGTGGCTGGGAAGTGGGTTTGGTCAATTCGTATTGATCTCCATATTTTGGACAATGGAGGGTGAGTTGCAGTGGTTTATAATTGGGCCCAGTTAAGTGCCCATCTACGTCTCCATCTGAAGTTATGAAACTAATTATGTGATTTCTACAAGTGCAGTAATCTTGTTGATGCTGCCAATGTTGCTGCTTTAGCTGCTCTTTTGACATTTCGGAGGCCTGAATGTACACTAGGAGGAGATGACAGGCAGGAAGTGATACTGCATCCGCCCGAGGTCCCCTTTCTTGCTTATTTCCCTCAAAAATTTTTGAGGTTGCATTAAGTAATATTTCTTTGGACATAATCATCCATTAAACCAATTCTTCAAAAGAAAAAGTTTTGTCAAACAACTACCNTATCTGCTTGTAATGGGAAATGTTCTATTTTGTTGCTATTACTTGATGTGTTTGAAATGTTTGTTAGAAAATGTTACATGTTGAGTTATTTGAGTGCTTCTTGAATTTTGGCAGGTGAGGGAGCCACTTCCTTTGATTATACACCATTTACCTATAGCAGTAACTTTTGCATTTATTGGAGACGAGAATTTGGTATGCAACTGTTAAAATTTCCTCTTTTAATTGTTTTATGCTGTTTAATTGCATGGTATTAAAAAATCAAATGCAAACTTCTTCTAATCTAACTAGTATTGGTAGGTTATAGATCCAACACATCATGAAGAAGCTGTTATGGGAGGAAGAATGTCCGTCACCCTGAACACAAATGGCGAAGTCTGTGCATTTCAAAAGCCTGGAGGACAGGGTACCATGCAAAGTGTTGTCATGCAGTGTCTACGCATAGCCTCAGTGAAGGCCGGGGATATAACTAGCAAAATTAAAACCGCTGTAAGTATATGGTAGTGCAGACTAACTTTCAAGTGCTACTGGAGTCGGGTTCTGTAATCTTCATGCCCTTTCTGCTGAATGATGACTGATTTTTTAAATCCGTCGCCCCTTTCTTTTCCCAATTAGAGCTGCTATTGGTCTATCTTTCTGCTTTGCCCTTGCCACTACCATGTGCCACTTCATTTTCTCTGTGACTATCAAGAACTTACACTTAAATTGGTGAAAACATCTTTGTTATAATTTACTATATTTTGGTTTATTTGGAATTGCATAAATTTGGCTTTGGATTTGGATGAAAGCTTTGTGAAGAAGAAGGCAATTCAATCTTGTTTCTCTTTTTGTTTATTCTTTTATTTTTTCTGAAATTGAGTCAAAAAATAAAAAATATTCAAGTTAGTATTATCATGAATGGCGAAAGTATGATTTATTTTGTTACATGTTGGATTAGATTGATGCCTAATAGGTTGGAATGTATTCTTTTTGTAGGTTGAATCTTACAACACAGAGAGAGCTCTCAAAATGGTCAAGCGACATGCAAATATTAATGCAGTTGATGTCAATGAACCAGGTCAAAAGGTACATGGAGGCTTTTTCATTAGCCAAATGTATGTGTAGAACCCATTGTATTGACTGATTAGAGTCATTACCCTTAGACATATAAGGGTAGTGAAGATAAGTTAAAATGGTTTATCTTTTGAAATCAAGTTCCATTCTCACCAAAATCTGAAAAATGGGGTATATTGCTAGGAAAAGAAATCACAATTCTATCAAATCGTAAGTAATTGTATTTGCCAGTAAATTGTTAGAAAGTATGTGTTTCATTACAATGTTCAGTCTTTAGCTGAAGCAAACTTAATTTTCAGCAGTTAGAATTTTGACTAAGATTTTTCAGTCAACTGAATTTCAGTCTTAAGACTTCAGTGTTCTGTTTTCTTATTTCCATCTCCTTACTGATAAGGCTAAGCAAATCTTGGAGGGGAAAAAAATAAAATCAGAAGAGTGCAGTGTTAGTCAGAGCGATGACATGGATGTCGAGCAAGGTAGAATCAAGAAGAGGAGTGATAAGAACCAGAGTTTCACAGGCGGGCCCTCCAGTTGGTAAATCTTGGTCCTGTCTTATTCCGAGTTTGTTTACCAGAAAATTATTCATATGCGGTGCAATTAATGCATATATAAGTTGCCAAAGTGCCCTGGGCTGCTGTCTTTGGGCTAAGAGGTTTACTTTTTACATGCACAAGTGTAATCTAGCATGGAAACCCAAAGCTATCATTCAGAGAAGCAGTTCGTATATTCTTGCTTTGAAAGAACTAATGCATATCTCCATCTTAAAATGCACATATAAACTTGTTTGGACACGTTAATAGTTGATTTTGCTAACTCACTGCAAAAATTTCCTTTCTCTTGCTTAGGGATCCATATTCAGAAGGTGTTAACACAGATGAATTGAAAGCTAATCTTGCTTCTCGTGGTGAGTTTTATGATTTAATTTCAAGTGTAAGCTTGGAGTTCCTTGTGTGCTATGATTGTTCTCTGACTTAACATACTGCAAACAGGGCTTAATGTGAATTACTAAATGAGTCTTTATGGATATTGATAATCTGAACTGTGTATAGTTTTTGGATAATTCATGTATTCTTTGTATGCATGGTTTATTATACATTTGTTAAAGATTCAAAAACTTTGCTAATCTCATAACATGGAGAGACTTTATTTCTGTGGGATTGTTCAGCTTCACTTGTCAAAGGAAATTTAGAAATTATACAAGGACTATCACACAATTTTTAATTTAATCTAAGTGCTTACAAATAGAATGTCAGTCTGATACGTCTCTTAATTTGCGGATAAGGAAAACTATCTTTGTTCTAGCGGTAAGAGAGCAACACATGATGTGTTTGTTAGGCGCACATCACAGGTTCGAACCCTCACGCAAGCAAAAGCTTGGTATTTAAGTAGAGAAGGGTAGAGCGGCAGGCTCATTATCCACCGAGTTTCGAACTGTGAGCTACGGTCTTAGGAATTTCTCGGTTATCCAAAAAACTCTATGTGGCATGAAAACAATGTTAGATAGGAAGATATGAAATTTTATATATGTTGTCAGCTACACAAATCACATTCCATCAATTTCATGTGTCAGTTAGTACTTGCTAAAGAAATGACCCGAAGTAACAAAAAATGCTTATATTAAGCTTATAAGAAAAAGCATACATTATAAACCATAAGAATTTCAAATAATTTAACATGGCTTAACATAAAAAATTCAACATTATCAGTCAAAATATATATAAATAAAAATTGACATTATAATCAAACAATGAAAAAAAATAAAAAAATTCAACATTGTGTTACTCAGAGCTAAAGCGAAGCTCTTTGCTCTATCTAGAATTTTAAAAAACCTTCCCCTTGTCGATCATCACATCTTCCCCAATCAGCTCCTCTTTTCTTATGACCCCAACTTTTCTTGATTTCCTTACCCTTTTAATCAATATTGACCTACCCAAAGTTAGTTCCTCCAATATTTCACATTGTTTTAGCTAAGAGCTCTACTGGATAATCCCCGTCTTTCCATTAAATACAGTGCTTCGGCGTTAGTTTACAGAATAACTAAAGTCTTGTGATACAGTAACATGAGATGTAATTCAAACCATAATAGCTCGAATTTATCGCTGATCAATGGAGAACTGTTTATGCAGCAAGTGGAAAATCCGTTGACTTGAGAGAAAATAGCAGGAATTCTATAGGATGGTTTGATTTGATAGAGAGGAGAAGAACTTAGCTAACAACATTCATTTCAGTAACATCACTGGGTGGTGATGTCTCATTTTGAAACTGGCCTCAGAAGCTGCTGGCTAAATATGCAAAAGGTGGAGAAGAACGGATCTTCAGTTACATGTTTGAAAAATTCAACAACCACTTCATAAGAATAAAGATGGTACAGGGGATCGAAGATCATCTCAGGAGATTGTACATGACATTGGGTGGGAAATTGCTTACAAAATGTTAAACTTTGGAATTTAGGGTAAGAGAAGGTGATTTGTCCTTTACAGGAGTTGTTTCTATTAAAGGATGACCGTTAGGAGATGTGAAGCTGGTGAATTCATAAGAGGTAGAAGGAAACTACATCACAATTGAGAACCCTCTTAAATCTAGACTAAATACTTAAATAGATGTTTGGGAGAGATTTAAAAGTGTGTCAGTATACCTGGACTAGTAGAGTAGAGAGGTCAGTCAAGGTTCGTTGGGGGATTCTGGCAGGGAGGGTGGCCATTTACGATTTTGATGCCTGGAATTTGAAAATCAAGGCATTTGACAGCACAGTGACGTGTATTGTCTTGAAATTGATCTTCTAATCAATCTTGTGATATGTTTCAAATAAACAAGGAGGTTATGCGTCTGGTGTTGACTATTTCTCTTTTTAGCACCTAATTATTGTCTGAATGTAATTATTTTGAAGGATACATCTTTCAATTCTTTGTCCCTGTATGGTTGACCCAAATTTTAGATTTGTCATTCTATGTTCCTGATCTTTGAACATGAAAATGGGTACCACTAGAACATGAAAATTGTGTCAATGTTTGATCATTCTCTCTTGAAACAAGTATGAAAAATTGGGAATAAGCTGGCTTGATATATTGATGATTATATTTTATAGGTTCAGCAGCAGTACCTATGAAGCTAGACAATTTAGGTGATGATATTACAGAAGAAAGAAAATCAGATGAACCACTTTCAGATGTTAGTCCAGTATCATCATTGACTGAGTCGGCTGGAAAAGAAATGGCAACAAGCAGAGAGAAGACTTTACAAGATGCTGTTAAGCCTAAAAACAGACGGCGAAAGAAGAAATTGTCTAATTCTGCAGTTTAGAGAATGCATGTATCTGTCTTTTTAAGGTACGTGGTTGGTGTATGGTGTTTTTGGTGTTGCAGTTTCTGATTTGATGGGACTTTCATGGTGGTTCTGGTTAAATCTTTCTTTCACAGCTCCCATTAAATCTAACCTTCAAAGTTTGTTAAATATTTGACGGAGATTAAAAGTGCTCACTTTTTCCAATTTTTTTTTTACAAGGACTAAAACTGCTCAAGAGTACCATATATAAGGGAATATTTTAAACCTACTTCCGAACATAAGAGACCATTTTTTTTGTCATTTTCTCGCATTAAGCTGGGGGAAGTTTATATTGTAGACAACTTGGATGCCAATACACATTGCTGTATCACCATTCGGTTATATCTGTTTTACGAAATAAGATACAGCTAACTACATTCATTGTCTTCTCTCAGATTGAAATTTTCTGCCTGGCATTAGTAAATTCTGTGTCTAATTGCAAAGTTGGAGCAGCACATGGAAGTTCTTGATAGTAGCAGCTAAAACTTTGTCCTCAAATTGAAGATCCTGAGTTGAAGGCATTCCCATCGATGTTCGATGTGAATGGAGGATTAAAGAATGCTGGATTTTGTAAAGTATCCTAGCTTGAGTTCCAATTACTTGATTGTATCCAGAGCTTGTGGCATCCCCGCTTTGGATCTTGATTTGAACCTCGTTCTTGGATATGAACTACGTCGCGAAGGAAGACTTAGAATGCTTTGTTCTTTAGAGTTTTCTCTAGCTTCTCTTTAGCTTTTTATATGTTCTTTGACCATGTAGAAGATTTCTATTTATAGTTGTAGAGCAAAGACAATCATTCTTCTGGATTTGAGGCTCTCTTGAGTCACTCAGGTAACTAAACTATTTATGCAGCAATTGTATTTGATTGACCTAAGCATGTCATTTCAACCCTCGGAAGGTACTGATATATACTTATAGTATGTTTGGCCCAACCTGGAAAACTCAGCTTATTTTGAGAATTGTTATGGAACAATAGAAAATAAAAACTCAGCTTATTTTGAGAATTGTTATGGAACAATAGAAAATAAAAACTCAGCTTATTTTGAGAATTGTTATGGAACAATAGAAAATAAAGTAAAACAAGAGGAAGCTAGAGGGAGATAATTAATAAATTTTTCTTGATTGATTACATTCTTCAAGTTTTTGGGCCTATTTATAGGCACTTTTGCATGAAAGGATTTGGCCACTTGTTGAAAGTCTTGACAATTGTTGAAAAGGCTTTGCCACTTGTTGAAAGTCTTGACACTTGTTGAACTACCTTGTCACTTGTTGAAGGCCATGCCATGGTCATAATTTGCTCCCAAGTAATTTCATAATACGTGGACATTTACACTTAATATTATTAATAACACTCCCCTTTGAATGTTCATTAATAGATAATGTGACTCGTTAAAAACCTTACTAGGAAAAACCCAGTGAAAAAAAAATTCTAGTGAAGGAAAAAGAGTACATATTTAATAATACGCTTTTTGGTTGCCTTGTTAAAAACCTTGCAAGGAAAACCCAATGGACAAAATCTTGTAAGGGAAAAAGAGTACAACGCGTATTAACTCCTCCCTGATGATAGCATCAATTCACATATTTGAGCATTCACATCCCAATCTTGTATGCTAGCTTCTTGAAGGTTGACACTGGTAGAGATTTGATGGATAAATCAGCCATATTATCACTTGAACGAATCTGTTGCACATCGACATCACCATTCTTTTGAAGATCGTGTGTGAAAAATAACTTTGGTGAAATATGTTTTGTCCTATCTCCTTTTATGAAGCCTCATTTCAATTGGGCTATGCATGCTGCATTATCTTCATACAAAATCGTGGGTAGTTTGTCACACTTCAAACCACATTTTTTACGAATAAGATGTATTATAAACCTCAACCACACACATTCTTGACTTGCTTCATGAATAACAATTATCTCTGCATGATTAGATGAAGTAGCCACGATTGATTGCTTAGCCAATCACCAAGATATGGTAGTGCCTCCACATGTAAACACATAGCATGTTTGAGATCGAGCCTTGTGTGAGTTAGATAAATACCCATCATCGGCATAACCAACAAGATCGGGACTGCATTCATTGCCATAAAATAAGCCCATATCGGTAGTCCCTTTTAGATATCGCAATATGTGTTTGATTCCATTCCAATGTCTCCTTGTAGGAGCAGAGCTATATCTTGCTAAGACATTAACTGAAAAAGTTATGTCAGGCCTTGTAGTGTTAGCAAGATACATTAGTGCACCAATTGTACTAAGATATGGTACTTCAAGACCAAGAAGCTCTTCATTCTCTTCTTGAGGTCGAAACAGATCCTTATTCACATTAAGTGATCGAACCACCATCGAAGTACTTAATAGATGTGCTCCATCCATGTAAAACCGTTTCAATACCTTTTATGTGTAGGTAGATTGATGAACAAAAATCCCGTTTGCCAAATGTTTAATTTGCAAACTGAGACATAACTTTTGTCTTTCCGAGATCTTTCATCTCGAATTCTTTCTTCAAATAATCAAATGCCTTTTGGAGTTCTGTAAGAGTTCCAATAAGGTTTATGTCATCAACATATACAGCAAGTACAACAAAGTCCGATGTTGTTTTCTTTATAAAAAGACATGGATAAATGGCATCATTTATATAACCTTCATTTAATAAATACTCATTAGGGCGGTTATACCACATTCTTCCTGATTTCTTTAGACCATACAAAAATCTTTGCAATTTGATTGAAAATATTTTCTCGGGACTTTGAATTATGTGCGTCATGCATTTTAAATTCCTCGGGAATTTTTATGTATATCTCATTATCAAGTGAGCCATAAAGGTAGGCAATAACCACATCCATTAAATGCATGTCAAGCTTTTCAAGGACAACAAAACTAATGAGATAGCTACATGTTATTGCATCCATAACAGGTTATGTCTCTTCATAATCGACACCGGGCCTTTGTGAAAAATCTTGTGCAACAAGGCGTGCCTTATATCTTTGTACCTCATTTTTGTCATTTCTTTTACGTACAAAGACTCATTTATAGCCAACAGGCTTAACACCTTTAGGTGTTTGGACTACAGACCCAAAAACTTCACGTTTCGCAAGTGAATCCATCTCAGATTGGATTACTTCTTGCCATTTTGGCCAATCACATCTTTGTCAACATTCTCCAACAGATTGAGGTTCAAGATCCTCACTATCTTGCATAATGCTAGATGCAACATTATATGTAAAGACATAATCCACTACTATATCCAATCGATTCAAATTCGTCTCAATATCGATTGGGTTTATTGACAGTTCCTTATTTTCTTGAGTCTCAGGGTCATTGATTTTCTCATGAATCTCACAGTTGGTTAAATCATGGGTTTCTTTATGAGACTCATTCGTAGTGACATCTTGATCATTTATTTTCCTTTTTCTAGGATTTCGATCCTTAGAACCCAATGGTCTGCCACGTTTTAGGAGTGCTTTTGAATCATTAGCTATGAACTAGAAGATTGTCCAACAGGGAGATCAATACGAATTGGAACATTCTCTGCAATGATATGTGATTTCGTTATCCTTTTCAGATCCGTAAATGCATCTGGCATTTGATTTGCTATTTTCTGCAAATGAATAGTCTTTTGCACCTCTTTTTTACAAATAAAGGCACGTGGATCAAGATGAGATAATGATGGATTTTCCCACAAAATTTCTCGTTTGGTTTCACCATTTTCTCCCCCTAATTTGGGAAAAAATATCTCATCGAATCAATAATCTGCAAATCGAGCAGTGAACAAATCTCCCATTAATGTTTCAAGGTAGCGAATAATGGAGGGTGACTCAAACCCAACATATATTCCTAACCTTCTTTCGGGATCCATTTTGGTGCAATATGGCTGTGATATAGGCACATATACTGCACATCCAAAAATTCTTAAATGGTATATATTATGTTCATGATCCAAAACTAATTGCACCGGAAAATATTTATGATAATTTGTCGGTCTGAGACGAACTAGCATTGTTGCATGCAAAATGGCATGACCCCAAATAGAAGTGGGTAACCTTATTTTCATGAGTAACGATCTTGCTATCAATTTTAGACGTTTAATCAAGAACTCTGCAAGTCCATTTTGAGTCTGAACATGAGCTACAGGATGTTCCCACTTTTATCCCAATTGATAAGCAATGATCATTAAATACTTGGGATGAAAACTCTGCAACATTATCAAGTCTAATAGACTTAATTGGATTATCGGAGAATTGTGTCCGTAATCGAATTATTTGTGTCATTAATTTTGTAAATGCCAGGTTGTGAGATGACAATAGGCACATATGAGACCATCTAGAAGATTCATTTGTTAAGACCATAAAATATCTAAACGGCCCACTAGGTAGGTGAATAGGTCCACAAATATCCCCTTGTATACGTTCCAAAAACGCAGGGGACTCAATCCCAACCTTTGTTGGTGATGGTCTAATGATTAACTTGCCTTGATAACAAAAAGTGTAAGAAAATTCATTATTTAAAAGGATCTTTAAATTCTTTAATAGATGCCCATTTGAGTTCTCTATAATTCATCTCATCATAATTGATCCAGGATATCCTAATCGATCATACCAAAGTACAAAAGTGTGGGGATCAATAATCTTTTGGTTTACGATAGAATGTGCCTCAATTGCACTAATTCTTGTCCAATACAGGCCACAAGATAAATATGGGAACTTCTCAATAACCCTTTTCTGGCCAGAGACATTCTTGGTAACGATGAGATATTCAAGATTATTCTCATATATTGTCTCAACATGATATTCATTTCGGTGGATATCTTTAAAACTTAACAAGTTCATCTTGGACTTGGAGGAGAACATTGCATTATCTATGACAAGTATTGTTTTCTTAAGCAGAGTTATAGTAGCTCTTTCAGAGCCTTCAGTTAGATTACTACTACCAGAAATTGTAGTAACATATGCCTTGCACATACTTAAATGAGAGAAATATTTCTTCTCTTTGAATATTGTATGTGTTATACATGAATCAATTAAACAAATATCTCTACAATTAAACTTTGATCCAAGTTTGCTTTGTGAGGTATCCATATTTTCTTCCCATGATTTGACATACAAAAAAAATATATGAATAAACATTAGTATTTTTAGAGAAAAGAGGGAAAAGAAACAAAGTTAAATTAATGATTCAATAATGACCTTTTAATGCAATTTCGAGCAACTCTGATTATGATACTAATTGATAATAATAATTACTACTCATGTAAAGAACTATGATTACATGATATTTATTCACTAGCTACGAAAATAAAAACCAAACTACTCAATCATCTTTAACCACTGATCCATTACCGATCAAGTGGTCTATTTTTCCATCAGGGTGCTCAAAGAAGTCTGCCACATCCAAGTGGGTGATATCAAATTAATTGTTAGAGACAAAATTGGCTTCTGGGCCTTTATTCTTTAGAGATACTTGATAAAGCTCAACCAAATATTTTGGTGTACGACAAATATTTGCACAATGCCCTTTTCCACCGCAACGATAGTATTCAGTTTCCAAACCCATTGCCTTTGGATTTTCACTTTTTCCTTTCCACTTTTGGTGGTTATTTTTCTTTGGGGGATGATTAACACCAGAAAAATTTCTTCCTTGGCTACGACCACGGCCACGACCACGACTACGAACATGGCCATGACCTTTTCCATGCTTAGTATGATGGGAATATACCTCATCCACTTCAGGCAATGGTGTAGACCCAGTGGGTCGATTATCGTAATTTCTTATGAGCAAGTCATTATATCGTTCAGCCACAAGGATAAGAGAAATCAACTGAGAGTACTTCTTGAAATATTTTTTTCTGTACTGCTGTTGTCGGACCATATTAGAGGCATGAAACATTGTGAACGTTTTTTCAAGTATATCATAGTAAGTGATACTGTCTTCACAGAGTTTCAATTTAGAAGTAATTCTGAACATCATAGAATTATATTCAGAAACAGACTTAGAGTCTTGGAGCCTTATATGAGCCCAATCATATCATGCTTGTGGAAGCGTGACCAACTTTAAGTTGTCATATCTTTCCTTTAAGATATTCCACAAAACAAGTGGATCTTTGACTGTGAGATATTCTATTTCAACCTTTCATCAAGGTGATGGCGCAAGAAAATCAAGGCCTTAGCACAGTCCTGGGTAGATGCTTTATTTTTATCTTTAATGGTGTCTCCAAGACCCGTTGCATCTAAATGGATTTCAACATCCAACACCCATGACATATAGTTCTTGCCCGAAATTTCAAGGGCAATTAACTTTCTTTTTATAATATCAGTCATAATTAAAAGAGGAGAAAAATTATACCTTAGTTTTCTCAAAGAGCTTCTTGAGACGGTAGAGTCTCGTGCTGATAACGTATTATAGAATAATAGAAAATAAAGTAAAACAATGGGAATTTAGAGGGAGGTAATTAATAATTTTTTCTTGATTGATTACATTCTTTAAGTTTTTGGGCCTATTTATATGCACTTTTGCATGAAAGGATTTGGCCACTTGTCCAAGATCTTGACACTTGTTGAAAAGGCTTTGCCACTTGTTAAAAGTCTTGCTACTTGTTGAAAAGGCTTTCCCACTTGTTGAAAGTCTTGACACTTGTTGAAAGACCTTGTCATTTGTTGAAGGCCATGCCACTCGGTCATAATTTGCTCCCAAGTAATTTCATAATACATGGACATTCACACTTAATATTATTTATAACAAGAATGCTTTTTTTCAAAAGTGTTTTTTTTCAAAAGTACTTTTGGTGAAAAACAGTTTATGTTAGGCTAATTAATTTGAAAAACACTTTTATGTAGCAATTAGCATTCGGCCAAGCTTTTAAAAGGCGATTCTAAGTGTATTTTTCTCAAAAGTGCTTCTCAGAAAAGTGCTCATGGGAAGAAGCTACTTTTTTCTGCTTTTCCAAAACTGCTTCTGCTTCTTCTTAAAAATACTTTTTTTCGTCTAAAAGCTTGGCCAAACACTTCAACTTTGAAAAAAAGAAAAAAAGTATTTTAGCTCGGAGAAGCTTGGCCAAACAGTCTATTAGACTTGGCAAAATTTACGAGTTGCGACATTTGATTCTCACCTTTCCTATGCCAGTACAGAGTTAATGTAGACAATTGTGTATCTGATATCCAATTATTTAAAGATTTATGAACTACATATACCTTGCTCAGCATGCCCAATATTAAGAGCAGGGGAAATTGGGGGAGGGGGGGGGGGAGGTAATTAGGAATAGCATGGGTGACTAGGTTATGGGCTACATGAGAGGCCTATCACATACCAAATTCAAGCCCTATGGCAAGGGCTAACACTAGCACTCTAGCACAAGCTCACACCACTTTAAATCTCCACTGACTCAGAACAGGTTATCAGAATGATAAAGGAAGGTAATTTACATTTTAACTCCATTATTCATGAATGCAGGTTCTTGATGGAGCAGCTGGGAAATCCAGTGCTAGAGCATGAGTTTAGAGAACAAAACTAGGTGGCGGACCTCCTTGCAAAGGAAGGAGAAGAGAAAAATACTTTTGATAGGACAGAAGTTTTGGCAGTTCCTCCGGCGTTTCTAAACAACACACTGTGGGCAGACATCCTAGGAACTGTATTTGTCCGTATTGTAAGGATAAATATTTGTGCAGAACAAGATATTAGTAACGAAACAATAGGGAGCATCACCTCCCAAACAATGTTATAACTATTTTTGATATGTATATATAACTATCCAGTTCACCAAAAAAAGGCTTATCTGCTCTTTGTGCCTATTGCTCTTATTTCCTCTTTTGTAGAAATGTCAAAGTCCAATTGAAACTTCAAATGGCAAGTGCAAAATACACAAATCATTGTGTAAGAAATATTGTTCCTTCAATTATCTTTGAATGTTGAAAGGTCCTAACAAAACAACGAGGATATATTCTTATGGTTGATATATGCCTTTTTTCATTTTCTTGAGCCGAGGGTCTTTCAGAAACAACCTCTCTACTCCTAGGGTAGAAATAATGTCTGCGTATATATTACCCTCTCCAGACTTCACTTGTGAAAGTATACTAGGTTGTTGTTGATATATGCTTTTACCTAGAAGATAGGGGCAATACTTATTTGTCATACATAAACCATAAGTTAAAAAAAGTTAAATAGGCAACAATCAATTTTTTAGAGGTACTTTATGAATTAATGGCTAGAAAAAATAGAGTCAATTAGTAATTCTTTTACGGCTTTGATATTTTTAAATTCTATAATATCACTAGACCTAAGCTATATAAAGGAAATTAGGACATCACCTCACGAAATCTTTTATCAAATAAAAAAGCATTTTGAGGGTGGGCGAATAGATATTTTCTTTTTACATAAGCCCCGTTCGCCTTTGATACTTCAATAAATATTCTAAAATAAAAAATTCAACTATAACCATATTAGGCAAGTCCCGCCAATACCTATTTATAGAGTGAAATTAAAATAAAAGAGTATTTCAAGTCCTACTTGAAAGGCTCGTTTTCTTAACAAATATTTTTTTAATATTAATAATCATTTAAAAAGTTAAACTTTTTCAAATAGCATCTAGATTTACTTAACTTCATGCCTCTAAGCGCTCCTGACGATCATTAGATTTAGACTGAAAAAGGAAAAATGAAAGAATGAGCATTAGAAAAAATGGAGAATGAGCTATTACAAAACAGTAGAAATTCAGTAATAGTTCAATTATAAAACCATGAATTAAGAAATTCATTTCTCTTCAATTTGTTTCATTATCATCTCACTCATAGAGATATCTAGATTTCCCAACATAGAGGAAGTATATTTTTCTATTTACAATCACATCTCTATAACAACATCTCCATATAACAACCATTCACTATAAAAGCTAAGTTTTTTCAGAACCAATTTTTATGTTATGTTATAATATATGTTCTTTATAACAGTATTGTATACGGTCGAAATCAGGTATGCCCGATTTTCCAGGCTCAAGGGGTTGCTTTAAGCCCTCAAGTTCGAGCTCGATGGGCCAGACTCGAGCTCGAAGATAGAATGCAATGCCCGAGGATCAAAGAACACAATAAATATCAGGGCCAATCATGTCCGACTCCGAGATAATGCCATTGTAAGTTTGTTACAGAAGGACAAGATTCTCGCCACATCCGCAAGATCATGATGCAAATCCTGGAATAGGATTGTACTATTCCGTACTAGGCGGTTAGACAGCTGTACCAGTAATAGTCCTTACTGTAAATAGAAATGTACCTTATCTAGGAATCCCCTATTATATAAAGGGAAACCCAATCATTTGTAACATCATCTAATCATTTACAAAATAATATATTCTCTACTTTTTGCTCTATGCTCATCTGAATTGTCCCTTTTATCTTTACTGTCCTTGGTTTATTGTTCTTGGTTCACCTCGAGATCACTGCTGCCTACTAGCTTATCTACTGGTTTGGTCTTGCTTACTTTCTTTCATCTATATATCATTTTTCTTGATTATTAATTGGTATTGAACTAAATCACATATCTTTAAAACCACAAATCAAATTTAATTGTTACTCATATTTTCGAGGTAAACAGTTTGGCGCCCACCGTGAGGGTAAAGATAATAGTGATTGTTTCTTTACTGATTCTCATTACACACGTTATTTTTATACTTTTTCTTGTCAAGAATTTTTTATTCTCAGGCTGAAGTATGTCTAGCTCACAAAATGCACATGTTCACGACAACGAAGGCCTTGGAGAAAAAAATAACATAGGGGTCGATGTACTACCAATAAACCCTGGGGAAGTGCCAAATATGGAACTAGTTGATGTTAGCTCACACAATGCCCTAAACACAGATTTAGGCGCAGACCCTGGAGAGAGTGTACGTAGGGAAGCCCGATCTGGTGGCCAAAGAGCACAAGGAATGAGAGATGGAAGAATCAGCCTCCAAGTGATATTCAAGATGCTACAAGCTCAGCAGATCGCCATCGCTCAACTTCAAAGTCAGAATAAGACTCCGAGTGTAGCTGAATATGAAAGCACTCGGTGTGATAAACCAGCGCAAGAGAGGTCAAATGGAAATGACTCGGGGACTGACCCCACCATTATGAGAATGCTCGAAGAGCTCACCAAGAGGATCGAGTTCGGGAAAAAGAAGATTGAAGATAATGATAAAAAGGTAAAAACTTATAACTCCCGTATTGACCAAATACCGGGGGCACCTCCAGTTTTGAAAGGTTTAGATGCCAAAAAGTTCATACAAAAGCCATTCCTTCAGAGCGCGGCTCCGATGCCCATTCACAAAAAGTTTCGCATGCCCGATATACCCAAATATAATGGGACAACTGGCCCTAATGAGCATATTACTTCATACACTTGCGGGATCAAAGAAAATGACTTGAATGATGATGAAATTGAGTTAGTTTTATTGAAAAAGTTTGGAGAAACACTATCGAAAGGAGCTATGATTTGATACCACAACTTGCCTCCTAACTCTATTGATTCATTTGCTATGTTAGCAGACAGCCTTCGTGAAAGTACACGCCGGGGCCATAAAGGTGGCAACAAGGAAATCAGACGTCTTCAAGATAAAACAAAGGAACAATGAGATGTTGAGAGAGCTCATGTCTAGATTTTAGATGGAAAGAATGGAACTACCACTGGTCTTCGATGACTGGGCAGTACAAGCCTTTATGCAGGGTTTGAACGAACAGAGTTCGATATCATCTCGACAATTAAAGCAGAACTTGATCGAGTATCCAGCCGTGACATGGTCAGATGTGCATAACCATTACCAATCCAAGATTAGGGTCGAGAACGACCAGTTGGGAGCACCCTCGGTCTCAGTTCATCCTAATAGGCTGGCGGCTAAGCCCCCGAGG